TCTGTAAGGCAATCAGTGGTACCCGTACCCATTTCAAACACACAGTGCTCCTGAATGAAGTGGAAGTTCAGAGCGTTCTTCGTCTGCCCATCGCATGCGGTTGGCGCAAGAGTCCAGAACTTCCATCGTGAAGAGAGTTAACTCTATTGCTTCTTTGCCCTCAGGAAGTGTTTCGGCGGAAGGCAAGCCGAACTTGAATTAAAGCATGGCTGTTGGGAAGCTGCCGTAGCCTGCGTTATGTGTCTCAGTCGGAAGATGTCGGAAGAAATAGTCATGTCTGGAGTCCTGGAGCTTGAGGTGCCCCACGGCTTCGATGCATTCTTGATCCTTGGCTGCAGCCCGTAAAACGATGGCCTTGCGGGACAGAGTTGGCTTCGAGCCAAGTAAGGATTGGAGACTACTTTTTGGCGCTTGAGATCGGCTGCCCTGATTGGATTCTCAAGGACGAGGACGCCACCTGCATTCAGAGTTGCTTCGAGAGTCTACTGAAGAAGCTTCGTTTCAAGCCATTCAGTGGCCTTAGAGGGATCCTGTTCACCAACGTGCCTCGACCGGGCTCGGCGATTTGCAGGAAGCTTATTTGGAGATAGGCCTTCCTGGGCAGCCGGCTCTTGATCCGCAAAGCTGGGAGGCCTGGTTGGCGAGGCACTGCGCGCCCTGTTGTCATGCTCAGTGGCAGTGCCACAGCCGGGGCGATAGGGCAAGATCTCGTATCGATTTGGGTTGGCCGTGTTCTACAACGGCTTCTGTGACATCTGTGCAGAAGGCAGATTCCTGCGCTACTTCGGTATTCACGAGCAATAGTTGCAATGTCTAGACAAGTGACGCAAGTTCAGTCTTTGCCTCCTCTGACAGCATTCAGCCTCGCGGCATCAGCATTGCAGGCACTTGCCACCGTCTCAACTTGAGCCTCGGCATCGGTCCACACGCATCGCCCCAGAGAGGAGTGTACGGAGTAACTAGTACTCATTCCTCAACTGTCTGTTGCATGCCCTCCGTCGAGCGTCTGCAGCACCCAGGAAGACCACCGCCGGTCTAAAGCTGGGAGCCTGTTGGAGAGGACGCCCGGGAAATTCGGAAGCTCCGTGTTCTGCTACCTTGACGCAGCACAGCTGAGGAAGCAAGAATTCGACGATGTACTTGTGCAATGATTCTGCAGCTTCATTGTTTAGCGTTTCGGTAAAACCAGCGTCAGTGTGGGGGCACAAGTGGCCATCACACCGGGAGGGACCGGTTATCTCTAATGCCTCTTCGTGGCTGGCACCATGTTGGTTGCCACAGGACCCTGGCAGCAATTCCAGACGTTTGCACACACAGTGTTTCAGCTGCATGTGATCATCCAAAGTTGTCGTTGGTCGAACCTTCCAAGTTCCACAAAGGCGTGACGGACGTCTGGGAAACGCTCTGGCCCGGCACAGCCAGAGCGACAGAGAAGCCCGGCACTTCAAGGGACAAGATTGCTGATGTTTAGACGCGTCCAGGCTTCACGCTTCGAATGCCTGGAAGGGAGAATAGGGCGGCCTAAGCGGCCGGGGGGCCTGACCCGCTCCCTGGAGTGGAAGAAGAGAGAGATGTTGGACACGTCTTGCACGGCTCCCTCGCCCTGGTGATCGTGAGACTCCACAAAAGCAGATACACAGCTCCCTCAGCAGTCGCCCTTGATTCTGCCAGACCTTCCAGAAATCTTCTATCCATGCGATCTTCATAACATACATTTCTCATCAGGATAAGAGGAATCAGCGGGACTGGAATGTCGTGTGGCTGTACTTGCTCAGCATGCCAGCACTCATGCCAGCCATCTATCTGAAACCTTCGAAGCTGTGACCTCGACAGTCTGTCTAGCGAAACCCGTGCATGCAGCCAAGATGAGGATGTTGGTCGTCGGATGTGGCGCATTGAACGCGGAGCCGACACAACCGCTCGTGGACAAAGGGGCTGGCGGATTGCCACTCGCTGCGGAAGTTCCAAGACAGTGCAGAACGTAGGAATCGCTCTTTCAGTAAACTCTTGGCACGATCCTGGTGCAGACACGGACACTTGCAGGCTTAGCAGTAGCAACTACTACAGGGCCCCGCAACCTCATGTTTGAAGTGACAGCCTTTTGCCAGCCGTCTTGCAACTTCGTGAATCCAAAGTCAACGTGAGGTTCATTGATCGAGATGAGAAAGGTGTGAAGCTGGCCAAGCACACGGCTTCGGCCGACAACCGGCTCTTCCTCAACACAACGGTGCCTGGGAATGGTTACTTGTAGTCGTAGCCTTGAGGACAACAAGTGAGGATGCCAGCGCAAGCACAGTGCAGCCGAGCTCTTCAAGTCGGGGAGCCTTTGGAGGGCCCTTCCAGTACCGCGTAGTGCAGCACAGGCAGCGAGCCTTCGCCAGAATCATGTCGTAAGATTCTGCAGATTCCCTACTTGTCTCCGGTACATGCTGCATTGCTGCAACGTGCATTATCAGGTACGGCCGCGCGATGTAGGCCACCTCCTCCGGCGGCATGCCGCCTTTGTGCGGAATGTCGAGGCTCCGCAAACTAGTCACAAACTCCACAATGCCGACTTCCAACCTGTGTCGCTGTGTCGGTTGGGTATGGGCCATGGGTTATTGTGGAGGTGTGATGAAGATGCCGCCGTCAATCGCCTTGTTGCCTTTTCTTGCATCGGTTTCGAGGTGCTTCAGGTGGACATTGACACGGTGGACGGGGCAGTCGTGCAGGCGTTGGGACAGGGACTGAGCAGGGCAAGACCGTCCATCATCTGCGAGTGCAGCCGGGGCTGCAGGCGGCTCTGGACCACGTGCATCCCAGGGCCGTGGTCGTGGAGGTCTGCTGCGCACATGCGGGACATGAGTTAGTGGACAATGAGTGATAGATAGACTCTGATAGATGGCTCCTTGCCCAGAGAAGAAATTCCAGGTTCGTGACGTCGTGCCATTTCCGATCCGACGCTGGTCTTGTCCTGGGTGCATTACCGTGGCACTGCATCGGCGATGCGTGAGTGCTTTCTAGTGGGACCACTCTGTGGCCGGGTCGCCTGTTGAGCTCCACATGGTCCAAGTCATGCACACTTAGAGCACTGAAATGCTTCCCACGGAAAGGAAGGTGATGGAAGATAGGTCTTTGCGAGGCAGCTGGCAAAGTCATAATAGGTGTCCTTATCAGCCAAGGCTACACCTGCCTTGCGCAGGATACCCAGGGTGTCGCTTTGGGAGGCTGGGAGTGAGTCTACTTTCAAAGCCTGGCAATGTTGGAGGAGGAACCATGAACCTGTCGATCAATAACGAGTCCTCGGCGGAGAGAAACGCCAGGTCGTACTTCGTGAGCTGAGATATAATGAAAACAACGGTGTATTCCCATCGTATACCAGAGTGACGTATAGCGAACCTGTAGGTTGCAATCATGTCGCTCATTGACCTCCCGTACCTGCAGGGGCCAATTTCGCTTTCTGGGCGTACGAGCTGCAGCGCCGCGGCTACCAGTTGGCCCGTCTGGATTCCCGGGATGCGGTCTTCGTCCGGGAAGAGGAGCCGGCTCATGGGATTTCGTGATGCATTCATGTAACATAGCCGTGGCACAGCCGTTAGGTTCGTGCAAGGGGCAGGATGCCTGGCCTGGCTGCCTCAGTCCTTGTCGGTCCGACCATTGGATCCTTGGCCGCTACGGGCTACGGGTTCCTAGCTTCATCTTTGCTTCTGCTTTCGCGCCATTGTTTCAGGAGGCAGCTCCTTCTACCGATCGGCTTCTGGGAACACTAGGCTGCTACTTACTGTGCCTTGCGAGCAAGCAGAGTCTGCGGACTTGGGCTATTCCGCGGGCTTGTGTTCGTTCTCTTGCAGGGTGGTCCGTGTTCGATGATCGCAGCGGTGCCTCTAATTCGGCCTCTAGGCATTAGTTGAGATCAGCCCCCTGGTCAGACACTACATGCTGGCACCCGAGCCGTCGCAGTTCTTTCGACGTGAGGCGCGGCGAGTGCAGGGGCTTCCAACTTGTGGCAAAGTAGCTCAAGTGCTTGTCGTGTCTGCCTCGTGCTCGTTTGCATGAAAAAGTCGCTTCGGCCGACATGCTTGCGCAATCTTGCGAAGTTATTCTTGCTGCTAGCACCTCGCCTGGCCCCCCCTCAAGATCTGACGAGGACCAATCAGTCCAAGTCCAATCAGCAAGATTGCGGTGGCACTGGCTGCTGTCAGATCCAGATCTTGTCCCTCGGAAAAGAAACGTGGTATCATGTGGCATCAGGAATGGTCGGGCTTGATCTGGAGTAATGAATGACTCTTGTACCGTCGTTCCGCAAAATCAAGTCTCGGTGCGCCTGCTTCGAGGTGATTGACGAGATCTGGCTGAATCTGACTGCCTGGCGGAATAACGTTCGCTTCATGCTGGACGTGTGAAATGCCTGGCACCAGATTCCGGACCGGTGTGACTGGCTGGAGGCTGGAGTTGGCGGAGTAGTCCAAGCAGCCGGCAGGCTCCGGATCGAACTTCCCGGTGTAGCGGATGACACGTCATCCGCTAGGAACGACGACAGCGCAGGATGGTCCAGGAGGGGTCGAAACCGCGAAAGGCTTGCTGCAAGCACACGGAGCGACCTGTGCGTTATCCAAACTTACACTGTGCCTGGGTGCCACAGCGAAATGTTAGACAGAGCAAGCGGACCAAAGAGCAGGACTTCGAAATCAGAAGCCACTGTGCCTCTTGTAGAATTAAGTCTCTTCCCTGGCATGTGCAGGCGGAAACAGCGTCTCACACCCTTGCGGAACGCACGACAGTGTGGAAAACGTAGGGCGGAGGGACCATTCCCTTTTTGCATACACGTGGCGCAGCAGCCTTTCAAAGAATGAAAACGCTTCCAGCAGCTGGGACAGCCTGCCCCTTTCAACTTTCACGGTCAGAGACCGTGAGCTAGGCTGTTTCTCTCCTCGCAGCCTCCTGTCACATGCCCAGCCTGAGCCACTTCGTTTCCCCGAGTCTTCCGTAAAACGAAGCTGGTGCGGCACCAACACACGCAGGAGTCAAGCCTCAGACTACAGTGGAGTGGCGGGGATCCTGGCACCACGGTTCTCCGATTCGTGGGCTCCAAACTTAGCCGATGGCAACGAAGATTAACTTTGTTGAGTTGGCCTGTAAACAATTCGGACAAGGCCAGCAGCGCTATTCCTCGGATGGGATCGCAATGGAGCTGGTGCGCCTCATGCTTTTTCAGCGAGGTAGTTCATGAGCTTGTCGGTCATCAGGGGGTTCCCAGAAGGAATCCCTCTCTTGCCGATGTAGAGGGTCTTGTGCAGACAGGCAAGTGACAATAGTAGGGAAGATGGTGCTTAGCATCGTCTTTAGAATCGGCCGAAGCTGCTCTTGGGTCGCCTGTCTAGACTTCCAGCATTCTAGCACTTGAGCTCCGAAGCCCGAGATGCTTCGAGCAGGTGGCCGGGAAGCCGCTCCTTAGAGCGACCGGGGCGCAACAGGCCGCGTGCTCGAGGGCTTCTGCCAACATTGGTCCAGCCGACCGTAGCAGATATTTGTTGCAGCTCCCTGTTGAAATTCTGTTCCGAACTGCATGCTGCCCTCTGGCACTCGACCCTCGCATGCCTGCCGGAGAGAGCCTTCCTGGAACTCCTGGGCCCATGTACTGCGACAGGTGCCAGGAGTCTCGCCGAAGGAAGAGCAGGGAGAGCCACGTCGCGTGAAGCCGCGGGCACTTCTCTTCTCCTCAGACGGGGCCCCAGAACAGCGGTTTGGGTTTTGGGGTGTGGGGTCTAACCTGTCAGGGTTGTGCTGTGGGTGTTTCACTAGTGAGGCCAGTCAGCTATGATAGATTGTACTGCGAGTTCAGGGTAATTGCAGGGTGACGCCGCTCTCGATTCAACAGCTTATCTTGGAGGTCGCTGTAATCATGTCCAGCCTCATTTTCGTTCGCACGCCCCTGCAGGTAGGCAACCAATGTCTGTCCGTGGTGGAGACGTGGTCGCATGACCGCAAGTGCAGCGCCCTTTATTTTATTTACATAGCTTCGAGTATGCAGCTGCCCGTGGCCATGGGCCATAGGCCGCTGCTTCTTGCAAGGCACGTCGATACAGCAGAATCTTCTCTACTCCACTATACCCAACTATACTACACTAGATGCTTGTATATAATCACAATATAGTAGACGGTACAGTATAACACATCGTTGGACCATTGAAGTCATGCAATAGTCTGAATTCCGGCATGGCCTCTTCGATGCTGCTAAGGTTGCGAGAGCCGGAGGGCCTCGACTTCGATGTGGCGCTGGTGTCGGGAAGCCCAGTCTCCCTCTGTGCCACAAAGGGGTTACTCTCAGGATTGCGATAAGGGCATTCTGGGGTTATTCTTCGGGCGATCCGCCTGGCTCTGCCGAGAGTGTGGCCAAAGAACCATTTCCGTCGCGCTGGCCCTAAGGTTCTACAAGGAATCCTCAGCGCCAGTGCTCGACACACTGCGGCAATGGGAGCGCTTCCCAGGCATGGAGTTGGGTTTCGGGGTCTGCAAGGGGAGGCGGTGTTGAGTGAACCCACACCTAATGCCCACCCGAAGTGGTAATGAGTCAGGTAATCATCTCAGGTCTTTTTTCGTCGAGCTCCATCTAGTTGCTTCTTTCAGCTCTTGGGGCTGCACTTCAGCTTTGCACCGCTGGCGCAGGCGTGCAGGTGTTTCAGCATCAGGGCATGCACCTTGCCTGCAGTCGGTTTGAGGGGTGTCAGCGAAAACAAGACCGCTGCTGTTGTTTGCTTTTGCCCGCAAACTCTTGCGCACGTATATATATATATATATACATACATACATGAGCTACACGTGAGCACTACGTCCTGTCAGTACGACCACTGTCCAAGTCATTTCTCTTCCAGGGCTCCATAGAATTCTGCGGAGCTAGTTGTTAGAAGGGCCATGAAATGCCCGTGCTCGCATGTCGAGGGTCTGGACTCTAGGGGGCAGCACGCTTCTGCAGGTGCGTGTAGAGATGTTCATGCGAAATTCACCAGACCCCAAGCCCTGCGTTTGCTTTCTGCTTTGATTGGTTTTAAAAGCTCTTGGAGCAAGGAATCATCGCGAGCTAGCTGATTTGGGGCGACATGTGCCTCTCCCTGCAAACCATGGACCAACCTCGAAATCCGCGTAAACCCTACCCCAACCCCAAAACCCCAAGCCCCTAAAGCCCTGAAAGATCCAGGAAGTGGCCGAACTTCCGGTGGTGGCTGGAGGGCCAAGGTGGTGCTGCCGCCGTGGCGGCCAAATACGACTCTTTGTCTTTGCTTGCTGGAAGCAGAGGATTTCGGCTTTGAGAGCTTTCGGAAGAGAATCCGAGAACCTGAGAAACCGAGAGAGAGAAGGGACTCCGAGAGCCAGAGGGTTTAGGCTTTGGAGTGGGCGGGCGCCCTTTTTTCAGCTGTGGTCGCGTGTGCACGCAAAGAGGGATTGGGCAGAGGTATCACAGAGGCCGTGGGTTGCGCGCTCACGAAAGTTCAGGCTGCTGCAGGCGGCCGATCAAGTGCCGCGAAACAACGCGGGGAAACATACTGCTTATTCGTGCTGTCAAATGAGCTGCTCACAAAGCTTTCGGTGGAGAAGTACTCAGGACTACATCTGGGTAGTGGATGATGATGTCCGTCTTCCCACCCATGAGATCGCCAAGATGTTTGACATACTGAGCCTTGGTGAAAAGTTACAACAGAAGATGACTGCACATACAATTTCGTACTAGTAGTAAGCGGTATCGTCGTTGCCCGGCGCAAATCCAAGAATCTACATGGCCACGAGGGTATACCGTCGTGGTCCACGCGAGTGTTTTGAGCACGAACGTCGCTTTGGTGAGACCGTGCACATCTGAGGCGTGAGCACAGCAAGATCGAGGTCGCGTGCCCTTCTTTCGACAAGGCCCTGCAATGCCCCGTCAGGGTCCGTCACGGTCTGAAAGTTGTGATGCGAGAAGATCCCTCCTTCATTGCAAGGGAAGCGATGGTGTGTGGCGCTTTTTCGATGGGCATGATCCGCGACCTTCGGCTGCACATGCCCGGCGTGGCGCCTGCATTCTGTGCCAGCAATCTAGGCAGGGACAGATGAGGTCGAACAGTGTGGAACCATGTAGAAAGACCCGTAATTCGGGATGAGACATGAACACAAGGAGGGAAGCAACCTGCTTGCTTGTCAACCAGCATCGGCGCAAGCCAAGGTTTCAAGCTTCGCTATACCAACTTCGTTGAGTGTGGCTTGGCCTCGTGAGACATCTGGAGCCATGCGAGCCACACTTCACTCTTTATTTCCTCTTCTACAAGAGGCACTGCGCCAATCCTGAAGAGCACAATGCTCCAGAGCCTCGGACGCATGCGCGCAGATGAGCGTTCGGGATGTCGGCATGCATTTGTGAAGTCTCCAGGCACCCTGCTGTTGTTGAAAACATCCTCAGGAATCCACGGTTCCAGCCATGCTTGCGAGCTGTTCGAACAGGCTGCACCGGAAGTAGTGCAATGTCGAGACAGAGACACCGAGCGCCCCAGAAAGGCTGCTTCATTGACTTTTGCTTCCATCCCGCAGCTGGTGGGGGTGTGGATGTCGTGGCAGCAGCTTGGCAGCAGGCAGCAGGTGGTGAGCCTGGATAGCTTGACCGCTTTGATTGCAAGGGCTTCGGGTAGACTCTTGCCGAAGTCAGGTCATTGATGCCGTGCAATGCCATCATCCTCCGAGGACTCGGCTTTTGACTGCAGGTGCCCGATTTCGCACGGAGGCTTTGGGCGGCTTCTCAAAGCTCCGTCGGCGAGTCTTGTTTGAGACTTGTGACTCTGCAGGACAGCAGATCACCCCAGTGAAATGCGGCAGGTGCAGGCAACTTCGGTTCTGCAGAGCAGTGGAAGTTGAGAAGATCGTGAGCCTCGCGCTTTTATGCATGGCTATCTCTTGTCCTGAAAACCAACTTTGCCAACATAGCCTGCAGGCTTGGCACGACCACAAGAACGACGATGTTCTCTTCGAGAAGGCAGAGCCGCCGCGCTACGCTTGTACTGTCTCGTGTGCTGAGCTGAAGTAGAGGATGCGTTACAGGGGACAAAAAGCACTGCATTCTGATTCTTTGGAGTCTAGGGTAGTTCTTTGTGTTTTGATACCTCAGCCTGCCCCAGCCACTTGCCAGGAGGGCGTGCCCAAGGAATGGTGGTCCATCGAGCCACGATTCTTTCAACCGAAAGCACTTCAGCCCAAATGAAAAGTTGTATGCTCAATGTTACAACAGTGGGTCTATACTCTCTATACCGTTCTAGCGCGCTGCAGATGCTAGGCTGATCAAAGACGTTCCCTCAATTCGCTCACGTCGAGGTGCTAGGTGCCATTCCAGCGACACCATAGTGGTCATCATCAACCGTGCGAGCTCTTCGTTTCCAAAGGCCAGGCATGTAGCAGCAAGCTTAGCAAGTCATGCAGTATCAAATGTTGTTAAGTGATGTGGGAAGTCAGTGATACTAGCACTTGTAGGCTGTAGACTAGGCGTTTTGACGCCAATAGGGCCTTGGTTCCTGAGCAGGCGCCAGCCCCGCGCCCGAGCTTGAGCTGGCGGCTTGGTCACCTCGTTGAGTTCAGATTTTCGGCTTCGACTTCGAGGCCGTTGACGACGGCCCCAGGAGCCTTGGAAAGGAGGATGCAGGACTTCGACGAGAGCAGCATGCCAGGCATGGACGGAAAGAGCAGGAGGAGCCCTGGCCTTGGCTCCAAGCGAGCAAATGGCATAGCAAGTCAGGGGTCTTGATGCGCGGTAAGCAGAGAGGCGCGATCCATTGGATGTCAAAAAGGAGTCGATTCAGGACTTGTTGCATACGTCTATAACGTGCACTCGATCTGAGTTGTTTGCTGTATTGTCGGAGCTCTTGTCAGGCTTCAAAACATCCGCAAGAATGGACGCAAGGAGGTCCTTGAGTTGCGTACGGGATTGACCAAGAAGGGTTGATTGTCGGTTGGAGCCTGAGGGCGTCGATGCCGAATCCCGCTATGTCAGGCCTGGATGATGTGGGACGGGCAGATGAAAGGGCCCCTTGGCCGCTTAGGGTTTTCCCAGCCATGGTTCCGCCAAGATATTCCGTGCTGTCGACGATATGGTTGTTGCAGGAATGGCGAGTATTGCTCTACTTCTCTCACTGCAACGACTATTGTGTTTTTGTTCTGAGTTGCCAATTGCAATTCCGAATTGTCTATCACCATCATGAAGTGGGGATGCTCCTTATTCTGATCGCTTGCGATGCTAGGCTACCGGTCCTCCTGCAGCCCGTCATGCTCTTGGTGCGCCTGCGGGGGCTGGTATCCTGTAACCATAGGCAAATCAAGCCAAGACATACACCTACGCCACCCCATGCACTCATACACGCTAAGACTCGCACACGCATGTATAGTACATGCATATATGCATACAGACAGACAGACAGACAGACAGGCCGACAGAAGACAGACGGATATACACACACACACACACCGCACATGTGCGCACACCAAGACATATGTCCATATGTTTGTAAAATATATATATATATACATATGCACATATACCTTTATCTCTCTCTCTCTCTCACACATATATACACAACACACATACACACATACGTACCTCCGTACATATGTGTGTACATAAGTATGTAACAGATACATGCGCATGCGCATACACATGTACATGCACAGATACTTGTACATATACATACACATACACATGTACATGCGCATGTGCATGCACACATAACTTATCTAGGTCTGTATATATATATATATATGTATGTATACATATACAGATATACATACATACATACATGCATGCATGCCTGCCTGCATACATATATACATACAGACATATAAATAAACAAATAGTTAGATACACGCACACACACACACATACATGTATGTATAGTGTACAAGCATGAAGCATAGCATACATGTGCGTAGATAGACACAAATACGAGCCTGCATACACGCATGAATCGCATCAATATAAGCATGTCCTGTTTCCCGCCTGGCTCCTCAACCCTCTCTGTCCCTACAGTACCACTCTCTCTCTCTCTCTCTCGCTCTCTCTCTCTCTCTCTCTTGTCTGTCTCTCTCTCTCTCTCGCGTTCGCTCGCTCGCTCGCTCGTTTTCGCATTCAGTCGCGTTGGAACATCTCCATCTCATCCGCCCCCCTTGCCCTTGTTGTTCCGATGTGTCCGGCTTGTCAACTTGCCGATCTGTCATGTCAGTCTGCCGAATGTGCTCGCATCCAAGTATTAAAGGTATATTAAAGGTATCATGGATGAGTCCGTGCATGCTATTGTATTGTCATTCCACTTCCACGAACACCTGACATCTTCTGCTGGTCTCATCATCATTATCCCGAAGCAACAGTGATCGCTAGTGATACTCACTGCCAGCCGGCCTGCTGCCGAAACAGGATCGCCTCCTTGCATACCGCCATAGTGTGTGGCCCTGAGCCAGAATCAGCTATGCCGGCCAAGATTCGAAGTTCACCTTGAATTCCGTGCTACATGTAGCAAGAAGATGCTGGCCTTGAAAATGGTGAGCAGAGCGCTGCAAAAGCAAGGATGTGACGTTGCCACGGGAGGCTGTGTCCTGGACAGCTTCGGAGGCCTTGAGCTCTTGTTTTCGCGTCTGTGCAATCATTCACCCTGGGATATCTCAAATTGGGCTTACGTACGTTGGGCCTACGTACGTGGTGACTGTCTGCCAGTTCGGTTCAAGGGGCTGAATCATCGATTCGCCTTCCCATGCTTCACGACGTACTTCACACTTGCAAGAAGTGGCATGCTCGAACGGTCTCTGGACATGTCATGTGCCTTTCGGATTCCAGATTCACCGATGAATCTATAGGTCACATCCATGGAACAAGCTACCCCACAAGTGACTCTCAGTCCCACCTTCCTGGCCCTACCTGCCTCATTGAGTGGCAGCTCACGTCTGCGTCGCTGAACTCATCTCATAGAGAGCCACCCCGCGGGATGGGCAGGTGGACATCTTCCTTGGCTTCTTGGGCTGCACTTGGCTGTGGAATCTTCCCGGCATGCTAACCCTGCAGCCGTGTCGCAGAGATGCATGGCCATGATTGAAGAAGAGGTGCAGGGAGCCACAAGCTTACGTCATTGAACCCTGAAGCCCGCTCGAGGCAGTTTGGGGTTCATCCGTCCGGGTCGTGAGTCTGCACTGATGAGAAGCACGAAGCGGCCCGGATCTTGGTTGACAGCTGATGCGAGCTGAGTGGAGAATGACAGGAAGATGATCTGGGGAGTGCCAAGTCGTTCCTTAGTCCTATCACTCTGGACAGTGTTGAGAGAACCATTCCAGGCTTGTCCGCTCCATCCGTGGTGGCTACAAGCCCCTGGAATTCCGTCGGGGTGCCCAGCTTCTTTGGAACACCAGTCTTTGCTTCGGCATGTTTCTACTGCCCTATGCTGCCGTATCCTTGAGGCGTGGACCATGATGGCAAAGAGAGCGGCGTATTTTCGGGCAGCGACATCACCAAAGGTGGGATGCTTAGCTCATTCCCAGAAACAGGTGCTCCCCGGAGGGCCCGCGCGCTAACAAGAAATCTGTCTTGCCCCGCCGGTAGTCGTTCCTCTGCCGAGGTGACTTGGTCGAGGTTTGCCCGTTGCACGAGGCCTGGTTCACAGTTTTTCTTGGGCTTAGTTCTACATTCTCGATGGTTAAGATTTGTCTTTTCCGCCGTCGTGGCGACGTCTCACTTGGTATGGTCTTCGCATGACACGCAGTCGGCAGGTCCCTGCGAAGTTGAGGGCCATCAGCCCGGTGCTTCAGCGCATTACGGTGCCCCCCCCGCTCGCGTGTTTAGGGCTGCCAAGCCGAGAAGGCCCAGACTGTTCCAAGGCGAACGTAGCTATCGCTGACCTGGGCAGCTCCGCATTGCAGTTTTGAGCAGTCGTTGGCGTTGCTGTTCAAGGGGACACCTAACGATGATGATGATGATGATGAATATGGTGATTCACCATAGTGATGATGATGATGATGATGATGATGATGATGATGATGATAATGACGATGATGATGATGGTGCAATGATGACGCGGATGATAATTGTCAGGGTGATGGTGGTGATGCTGATGGTGGTTGGTGCTGATGGTGATGATGATAAGGATGATGAGGATGACACCAGAAGCCACAGCCCTGGTGCCAGATACCGATGAGAATGGATGAGCAACGGTTTGCCATCGTGCTGGGCTTTGGAAAGGTGCGGCAGCTGTACTTCAGCTGGGACGAACAAGCTTTGTGCCTGAGTCTAGAGTCCGCGCTCGAATCACTCGTGCGACCTTTGTTCTGAGAGCTGTGGTTGCCTACCCCCAAGCCACGCGCATAACTGAAAAGCATCTGGCTCAAAGTAAGCTGGGTGATGCCGTGCTCATCATAGAGACCTGCCGGCGATGCGATCCACTTGATGCCAACTCCAACTTCTCGGCCAAGGACAGGTGCTACTGTAGCAACGCCGACTTAATACGTGCTTGTAACGTGCGTATCCCATTTTATGCCCGAGATTGCCATGCCACGTGGCCGAGGGAGTACATCACCTTTCGGCCTTTGCTGAATCAGAGGGTGCCGGAGCTCAAACCTCGAATGCCATGGAGCGCCGGCTAGTTTGAGCCAGCTCATGCCTCCGCAGCAGGCATTTCATGGGCTTTCGGTCCCCTTGGCGGGTTGAGGCTGAAGGGACCGAGCATATCAGATGCACGGCATGGCCATTCCCATCCCGCACCCAAGGGCCTTGTCATGTGAGAACCGGAACTGTGAGAAGAGCGATCATGATACTACCATGGGTAGATATATATGCTGAGGATGCAACAAGACGATCACGAGCGCAAGGTTGCAATGTCTTTTGTGAAAATCTTACGCATGGGCCGGAGACTGTAGCAAGCACATGACCACAGCAGGCACCAGGGAAGGCCGCTCCAACGCCCCCGGCGCCAGCGTCGCAGCGCGAGTTTCTAGCGTTAAAGGCAGCAGCATGCAGCAGTAGGATGGCACACACTCTAGGTGTTGCTGCTTTTATGTCTTCGCTGAGTGCGGTCTTGTTGGAAGAAGCTTCTGGGATTTTGGGCTTGAGAATTGTCCTTCGGTGCTCAAGGCCCCAAACATCCGATGTCTTGCTTCGGTGTTCCTACAATGAAAGGGTTTGCCATGTGGTGTTCTTGGACATGCTACTGCTACAAGACGATGTAATTTGCCGTCTGGGAGAACCAGCTGGGTGTGAACTCGTAGTGCATGAAGCTGTTTGTGTCGTGATTTGTCATGCTCTCCGGCGAACCTTCGCGTTGCACTCGCGGCTTTTTCGGTCCAATGGTCCTGTGCGATTAGACGCCGAAAAGGGCGGC